CCAACCAAGGCAGCGCGTCTGCTTCTCAACTGTATCTACTCACAACCTTGACTTGAAATGCTGTTATTTGTGGTCTGGGTTTTGTGGTTTGTTTCCAGCATGTTTTGATTCTGTGTCAACACATCTGCGATAGTCAAACATCAAACCACATACTTTCCCTTTTTCCATTCCTGTACCGCTGCCAAACATTTCTGAAAGTATCTAATTAAGTCAACTAAGAAAATTGTCAGTACATCTTTCCCCTCTTCCCATCAGCTTAGCCACATGAGTAACTCCTTGTATGTTTCTTAGAGGAAATAAAAGCTGTAACCCCAGTGTGATGCCCAAAGACCACTGACCGTAGATGTCTAGAATGCAAAATTCACTCAGTTGGTTTACACATAAAAGGCACGGATAATTAGAGGAAAAATGTAATTCATCATACGTTTGATAATCAGTCTGATTTGGTCTCCTATCTGCACTAGGGCATTCAAATAACCCCCCTACTATTAGCACCCCTCTCTCCCTCACACCAGTAGTCTGTTTTACCCTCTCTTTGTTCCCCTACAACACATTATCATTATTGTAGCTAATTGCATGGTTTGCCTTGAAGTCGGGCTGGAGACTCATGATCTGGGGTTGAAACGTGGACAGGGATCCAGTCTTCTCCACAGCTTGCTTTACTCTGCTAATTGCTGTTACCACAGGATAAGGCGTGCTCCTCGCTGTGGCCAGCCGGACAAGGCTGGAACAAGCATGGGGTGGGATGGGTGGAGGGATACTATCACACAAGGGTGGTAAGATGTGGGAGGGAGAGCCAAGGGTGGCATAACTGACGTGGGATGGGTAGACCAGATTGGGGAGGGAAAGGATAGCAGCTGGAGGTAAGCGGGGGGGGATGGAGCTGGTGTTAGATGTAGGTCAGCAGGAGTGGAGAACCCTAAAGATTACAGTTGGTTAGTGCGACCCCTCTCTGACAGGATCTGAGACCTTATTCCCAGCAGAGGTGGAGCCTGGCATTTGGGGAACCCAGCTATTAGTGAGGCTAATAAAGCCCATGCAGAAAGTTTTGAACCTCCAGTAGCCCAGAGACATTGTCCTGACATGAGTCCAAAGGCTGAATCTTAGTTAATATAAACCTAAATGACTAAAGAGAGTCTTTAAATGACTGTTAATTAGACAGCCGAGCCGTGCTGCGGAGTAAAACACATCTATAGGCACCCATTCTCATTTACAGTCTCTCTTAATAATTGTTTTTACGAGCACCTCTTTTTATTATCGTTGTTTATTAAAGAAGAGTAATTTAAAAGATGAGTTCATCTAACTCTAAAAATCTGAAATCTCTCTGAGCGCTGACAGTTTCCTAATTCATATGGGAATGTTAGTTTTACACCACAGTATCAGCTTCCAACTTTAAAATGAGTCAGAGCTCCCCGATGGGGTTTTAGAAAAGGAAATGGAATCACAGACATAACGAGTGACAAAGCCTCCATCACCTCATATAAGATCTCATTCCATCTGTGAGAACTTTGGGTCTACCCTAGAAAAATAATAAATATCCCCCTCTCATGGCTGCCGCTCTTTTTGTTCAAAAGGTGTTTTCAAGACCAAACAAAAGAAATGGTGTCATTAATGATATATATTATGAACTAGGGCCTCTTAGAACAGTTTCCTACAAATGCATGGATAAGGGGTTGATCTCTCTCCTAACAAAGGATCTCTAAAATATGAAGTGAAAAGCTACCCAAGATGAAGCTGGTAAAGAAACAAGCGAGGAAGAGCCTATTTCCACAACACAAACAGATTTCCTGGCCTTTAGCAGTCTCTTACTGGGATACTTTGAGACATATCCATCAAAACACAGCTGTATTCATTCATATTTCATATCTCCTCCTTCTCCCAGTGCTTTAACACTGTTCTTTGATCAAAGGAGAGAAGTCGGATCACAACAGGAAGGTTCCCTGCCAGCCAAGAAGGAGAAGGAAGGCCAATTCACTACTGTACATGTTACCATATAGCTAGCTGTAGTTGAAGACTTCACTCAACGAAACAAGGGGAGAAAAGTAGAATAAAATAAATGAATGTCTTGCAAATGCAAAACTAAGAACGCTTGAGAAATTCATGACTTTCCATTGATGAAATACGAATTTCCACATTTTACAGAGAGCTTAATTCTCGGCCGTGTGCAGGCCTGCTGCAAAACTGTGCAAAATAAAACACAAACTCCATCAGACAGTGGGATCAAAAATGAGCAATTTTCGAAGAGTTTGGGATGATTGAATGAAGCCTTTGTTAGATTTAGAGGAATAACAGTTTCTCCAACTTAAGTGATGGAATTGCTGAGAGATGGGCATCCACAAGCTGATTCAAAACACACAGCTCAAGAGTGTCACCATGTGGAGATGAGGCGACATAGCAAAAAAAAGTCCCTGAGCAGCTGTCTGAACAAATGCTTTACCTCAGAACACGGCTCCAGAAAAGCATTAATATTTTCATTTCTTCTATTAACCTTTCCTTAGTCTTTAAAATACATTTTCTCCAATTAAATTTCACCTGTTTTACATTAAGCCTTCAGCCACTCTCTTTACCTGACGTCTACCATATCAATTCCAAGACACAGCCGTTCCAAAGACCCTTTTCAGTGAGGCTCTGGGAAAAAAGTGTTTGAAGACCTCCCTGACATTTAGACTCTCTCTGAAGATGACTTTGCCTTCTACTATAGCCTGCGGGAACATAGTAAGACCCACACTAAACTTCAATTGATATGCAGTGCCAGATTCCTCCAGGGGAAATTATCATTCTGTTCATAATAAGAGCCACAACAAGCACCTGGAAAATGACTTTATTATACACTCCGCTTCAATAAAAGTTTCCTATGACCCATCAGAAACACACACATGGTGCAAGGGGCATAATAGTGATGAAATGAAAACTATATTATGCATATGATAGAATGCTTATTTGATGGTAGGCAGCGCAAGGATGCACATCTGCTCGGATGTGCTTGATTGGCAGGTGTGTTAATGCTGCGCCGTAGCCTTGGATGGAGATGCTCTGAGACCCCCTTTTTCCTGAAGCCATTATCCAAATATGTTCTGTTTTTCAAACAAATGAATGGCACAAAAATCAAAGTATCAAAAATGTATTGCCCTTCATAATGGAATTCCCTCAGAGCAAGGACATGTAACAATGGGCCATTCTCAGCTTCCTGTGCTTTCCCTCTCTATGCCAATGGACGTGACCTCCACTGCTTTAACAATGGGGCATCCAGCAGCATAAGCACTTGGCTTCTCTCACCGCAGCCTCTACATGCGGTAAAGCTGCTTTTATCTTTGTTGTTATATTTAAGGATGACATCCTAGCCTGTCGGCCTCTACTATTGTCTTCACCGTGATTATTTTCTAGCCGTTGTTTAGCCCCAGTTGTGGCTCTTTGATGAAAAGGTCGCCACTCAATTGGAAAACAGTCATTAAAATGCGGTGGGTACTATTCACCAGTGTGCATGGGGGAACCAACTCAACTGAGCTGGTTAATCAAAAGTTAATTATATAATTTTCATGCAGATGAGGGAAACATTCAAATGAATCCCAACTCTACAATCATTACAAAAAATAAATAAAGAAATAATTCTAAAATGCTATAAAATGTTCAGGGACCAGGAGGCTGTAAACAATATGAAGTTTAATTTGAGGTAAACAAAGTGAATATCCACCAGGGGGTCTGGGAAGGAGAAAGTGAGGTTAAATCAAATTTGGAAACATAGATACCAGCAGGTTTTGTTGTCCTGATATACGTGCAATTAGGCAGGTCCTTGATGAGGACACTGGGAGGGAGAAAGTTGGCTTTCACTGCAAATGCTTTGGGATTATTTAAAGGGAATTTATGGGATTTTATGTTTTATCTGTGAACATTAATTATCCCCACAAAAGTGTACCAAATTGAATAAAAACTGTATTTTAGGATGTGTTATAAAAGCACGATTATCTTTTATGAAGATGTTGCAAAATTACTGAAAATGCCACGAAGCATAAACTCAAGTAAATCAATTCAAGGAAGTCTCATCGTGACTTTCAGAAGAAAATACCCAGGATAATAGTTTCCCCTGTAACTTTGTCAACGGAGCTAAAGTATAATATAACACTTTTCAAAAATACTTAAGTCTTTCCTCATCAAAGGAAATGATTGTGCTATGCAAAGTACAACCATGAATATTAAACCAATGACGTGAAGTATCACAAATGAACAAGCATTGTTCTGGAAGTGCAATGGAATGTGGTTTAATTTCGCTTTAATTCTATGTGCTTTTATAATGTTCACCTTTTCCCAATTGTGCCAGCGGGTTTGGGTTCATTGGTGTGCATTACAACCACGCTCTAACAATGCCGGGCCTCCCCGGTGTCAGCACAGTTCATGAATCCTAGCCCCTTATGCACCAGGCGATTAGTATGGTGCTCTGTCTGTGGGGCTTTGCCAGAAAATGAGTTCTCTTTAAAACATATGCCCCCTGCTGATTCTTTTCCTTTCCTGATATGAAATTCCAATTTTTTTAATGAACACCAATTTCCTGTACAGAGAGGGGGGAAATAAAGTTCTACTCTTGGTCTGTTTTGGATGACTGCAGTTATCCTAAATTAGCAGAAAGCAGTTGCGGACATTAAAAGCAGAAAATATTTAGATAGGTGTCTAATCAATATTCAAGTGTGAGCAGGAAAATCAGCTGGTGAGATTTTCCATATTGCATATGCAAGTGACTGGTGTGGCAGAAAATGGAATTACCAAAACTGTAACAAATTCAATTAAGTCATTGATTTCTAATAAATTGGCTTAATCACCAGCTGTTGTCATGCTAAGATTGTTGTGTCACAAGTTTGTCATGCTTGTCGGTCGTGTCTGCTTTACAAAGGCGGCTGAATCTGTTTAAAGACTTTAAAAGAGCATTTTATATCGTTTAATCTCCAATAACAAGATCAACAAGATCTATAAAAAACACACTGAGCAATACACAATTAGCTAATCTGGATTTTAAAGTTTATTACAGTTTTACAAGGCTTTAACCACCGATAACAAATAATTAACATCTGCGTAACAAATGATTTGCTGAAGTCACCATCTTGTTGCCGGGCGATCTTTCCCATGTGCTGCTGATAATGATGTAGCTCTTCAATTATTAGGGAACCTTTTTTTTCGGTCAAAGTGACTGGAATCATCATTAATCTGAAGAGATTAAAATTAAACATTTTAATCAGTCATTCGAGCTGCTTCTTTAAATATTTAATCTAAAAATATTTCAATTTGAATTGATATGTAGGCTCAGTAGATACCAAACAAGAGAGAAAAATTTGCAGTACATCTATCACCACTCCCAAAACTAAAAGGAGTCACACCCATATTCTTTCATGCGAAGAGGGAAAAATAAAAACAGTCACTGAGCAGTTTGTATATTGTCATTGCCGCTTTGGAACACACTGGCACACAGTGGTGTAGTGTACATTAATATTGTACAATTGAACTAGACATTGGTGATAAATTATGCATAATAGGCACTTACTATATTGTATGGTCTAAGTCTCTCTTGGATTTGGGCATTTGCCTCATCGGGAAGAGACACCACCCCTCCTGTGCCCATCATCTATGTAGAGTAAAAGAGAATTTAGAAGATGTTCCCATCTGATCCCATTAACAGCAGGTTTGAAGTGTTTTGGTCGTTCCTGTTATATTTTGCCCTTATTTAACATTTCATTCAGTTCCACATATAATAATTACTCACCCTAATGGTTGCCTCAAGCTCTCCCACATTTCTCTTTCCACCTGGTAGCCATCCATAGGACCAGTGCTGGGACAGGGTGACCTGAACCACCAACGCCAGCAACAACACCTGCATTATAACTCTGCTGCCTGCTTCCATTAGAACTGCAGGGGAAGCCAAAATTGTAGTAAAAACCCCCAAAAAGAAACAATAATGCCACAGTATCCTCACTCACAGCTCCTTGGCTTGCAGAGCAGGGACTGTAAAGCATCACCAGACACTAGTAAACATTTTAGATAGTAATTAAGGAGAGGAGTACTTTTAACTTAATGAACATTGAACAAATTTAAGTGACTACTGACTCACCTCTGTATTTGCCTTGTTAGCATGTGTCGCATTAGGCAGTGGGGGGATTTTATAGGTGTTGTACAAGGCTGCTGTCAGGATTATAATCCCCATCTGCAGGTGTGACACATTCACTGACTAATGGGACAAAATACTACTAATGGAGTTGGCTAAGTGCTCAGATATGCTGACATCACCGTGACAGTTCACACAGCATTAAAAATATAACAACAAACATCACTGCGCTTGCAGTAAAGAGGCAGACAAAAAGACAACATTAAGATGAACTCCGATGTTCCTTACCATCAAATATTTATTGGATTCAGCTTTCAGAAAACAATGTTCAAATCCATACAGATGGAAAAGGCAGAAACATCACTGAAACAAGATGCTTGTGCATTTCTAACATCTGCAGCAAGGTCTCACTGTCAATACCCTTACTTCATAATATTCCTTCTGCATGACAAAAGATTAAAGTCCACATTGCAGTAAACCTTAGTGATGATCAATGGCCACTAGTATTTATGTACATACTAAATTAACTGAAGAAAATGATCAGTGTGTCATGAATGAACCAATCTTACAAAGTTACAATAATGAAAGTACAAACACAGTAGAAAGCTCTTCACCAAAACTCCCGAGCATACTGTTGAAAAATAATTAAGTAGAAGCCTTGCAAAAATATATGCTTTGTTTTTGCCATTTAAATATGAAACCAAGACAACTGTAGCTATTACAGTCAAAAAACGCCAGCGTGTGCATGATTCATATTTTGCCCGAGCATTGTTATTTGAGATCAATGCTTTCTTCTCGCTTCTTGCTTCCTGTGAATGAAAAAGGTTTAGCTGCATCAATTATCAGCTGTTTCTACTGTGTTTTTCCTCTCTTTTCTTACACACTTACATATATAATTTAGATTCTGAGAAGTGTCTCTACAAACAGTTAGCCGATGATCCATACATGAGACCACCATTGAAAAACAATGCTTTTTTAAAAATGTATATATAATATCTAAATTAAACATACAGTATACATCTGTCTTATCTTTATTAAAATTGTGTCACTTGGTGACAAGTCTTTCACGACTAGAACTTCTAATCAGTATGGCACTGCTTTATGCAAACATGCAAAAAGGTGTATAAAAATTTTTTTTTTTAAAGTAAAATGTGACTGCAATGATACATTTGAATTCATGTAATAATACAATATTTTCTGCCTGTTCCAATGTGGGCTAATTACATTTTGCAGAGTCAGGCACGAATCCACTAAGTAATATTGCCACAGGCAAAAAGAAAGTTGGTGAAGTTGAATAATATTGCAGCAGGCAGCAGCTGTTAAGTTATTCCCAGACAGAAGTGAGGTAATTTGCAGCGTCTAACAGAATGAATTTTGTCTGAAATTTTATGTTTTACTTTGAAATAAAAGTAGATCATAAATACTAGTTACACATACTGGTCAATGTTATTTTAGAAAAAACATTATTAATTGCATCCTACTGTATTTGTGAAACACACTTTTTTGCTTTTCACACCAATTAAACATGTTAAGTGTGCGACATAAAGTACAATGTAAACTCAAGGCATTGTGCTCAGTAACTAAAATGAAAACTGTTGCACTGTACAATGCACTGGGTATTTTTGTAGGTAAGAAAATATACATACATACACACACACACATATATATATATATATATATATATATATATATATATATATATATGTACACATATATAATGTTGATAATGTTGCAATTCAGTTAATACTCCCTTTAACAATTCTAAAATGTTGTATATTTGCATTATAATTTTTTTTTTTACAATTTATCCAAGCCATTAAGTAAAATTTGAATTACTACATTTTACAGTGGGGTACTTGAAGATCAAACATTCTCATAAGAGACAGACTTTTTTGTAGACCACATGTTTTCAGTTATATTAAAGTATATTACACCATTTAGTTTAAATCTGTACTCATGTGCAAAATACTACAATTGCTTGCTTTAGAAAACAACATTCAGAAAAAATTGCATATGTTAATTTGACACACAGCATACAGAGCATTATTACACTATTTGAAATTGGCGTAGTCTGAGAAAATGTCAACAAAATCCTGGACCACTCTGTAGCAGAAGTCGTATTGCTCCTGCAGAGAAAAGCGAAAGAAAAAGTGTCACCGTGCAGAAATGATTCCAAACATGTTTATGCACAGCAGGTTTGATGTTATGTAGTTTTTCACCTACCACGGTCTGAACCATGTGTGGTCTCTGCATGCGTAAACTCTTGACTGTCTGAAAAACGTCCAGGAGGCCTTCAGCTTTCACTCTTTCCAGAATGTTACTGAGGGCAATGAAGGTGCCCGTCCGTCCTGCACCGGCACTGAGGTCATTAGGACAAAAATATTAGAAATCTCATCATAAAATGTGAACATTAAAACTTTACAGATAATTATGAAACAACAAGAAGATGAACAACAAGAAAAGGAACCATTTTTTTAAGAGTAAAACTGCAATGAAACTCTTGTAATCTCACCACATCCTTTTTCCATTTATCTAAAAAAAGTTAGCGGGAGAAAAAGGTGACCTCTGTGTAATGGTGCTAATAATTATCCCCACTTAAAGAGAGGCTAATCCAAACGCTAACACTAATCAGTCTAGAAGCTCAGTGTTTGACTGAGTCAATGTTTACAATGATGGTGGGATGGAGGGAGAAAGACAGAGAGAGACAAGGAGTGAGCGCGAGAGCGATGTGCGATTTGGAAGAGAAGTGTAGAGAGACGTTAGGGATTGCAGCGGGTTAGCCCCATTCCCAAGAGACAGAGAAAAAGCTTTAAAAAGCCCCTCTTAGACAAGTGGTGATGAAGGAATAGAAGAGAGTGATGACACCATTTCCTGTCGTTAGCTCATCTTATCAGATTAATCATAGTGGGAGTCAGAGGAGATTTCACTTTGAGAGGTTTTAATTGACTGTGAATCAGTGGATTGGATCAATCCCACAGGGGCATGCTGCTTTAGAATCACTTCACCTGAAGCTAGGTTCTGATCAAAGCTTTCACAGCTAAGTCTTTATAAGGGATCACATAAGTGGTTTAGGCATAGAACACCAAGCCTACCGAGGAGAGGAAAAATGTACAATTTATTGTAACAGACATTTGTAGGACCAAAAAGTAGGGAAAATGAAACGGGTTATATTAAAAAGCATGAGCGGACAGCCACAAAGTGTAATATAGTGTATATAATTTCCATCTGATGATGTGCACCACGCTGCAGAATTCTCAAATTGAAGTTCCTCACCTGCAGTGCACAATTATGGGACGGTTTCCAGACTGCTGCTGCTGCCTCTGCACAGCGGCAATAATGTCAATCATCCCTCTTCCCTCGGCTGGTATTCCGATCTCAGGCCATCCGTGGAAGTGGAAGTGTCGGACATGTTGTGACTGCTTTTCCTGGTGTTGGGCAAATCTGATTGTTATTTTCATCTAATTAAAAAATGTAAATGGAATGAAATGACATGAACTTTAATTTGCTTTGATGATAACAGCACAAAGAAAACAGGTTGGGAAATTTGTTCAAGTGAAATGTCAATTTTAATATTGTTAAGTGTTTTAATTAAACCTTACGCACTGGTCTGTAGGTGAGAACCATGTCTTTGAGAGTGAAGGTTTCACACTGTGTATCTCCAGTCAGCTCCACCGTATAATCTCCAAATGTTACACTGCCCTCTGATGGCCAATACCGGTAACACTTTTCCTGGTTGAAGAGTTCAAATGGAAACGCAAACAGGCTACAGTTAACTGGTTTATATAGTGTTTGGTTATTGTAACATGAAAATTAATAAAGACAAAACCACAACACACATTGACAATTATGCAAACTGTATGGAAAATAAATATGAAAAATTGAATAATAAAACATGGTTTAAATGTTCAACTCTGCTTTTCAACCTGTACTTTTGCAAGAACACCATACTGTACCTGCTCCCTCTCTTTGAGTTCGGTGAGCATAACGATTGAATGGCATCTCCACTCCCACACCATCCTCCAGAAGTCCTCCACTGTGTGAGACAGTGGGCCCTGGGTTGCGATAAAATAGTCCTTCTGCCTGTAGCCCTGGAGGGCAGATCATCTGGTAAACAACACTTGAGAGTGCAGCAAACATAATATTTTGCATTGTTTGTAAAGGAAACAATGAGCTTTATATATACTTCTATGGGAAATCTATACAGGAGGTCGTGAGGGAGTGCTTACATCAATAAAGGAGGCATTGATGTAGTCAGTGAACTCCTGTCCTCTTTTCACTGAGAGTATTACTCGGTTGAAATCATCTGCAAACAGAAAAAAGGAAAATGAAACTTTTCACAAGTGATTCCTAATAAAATAAAACTTTGAAAGGGCTGACGAAAAAAAAAAAAATCCTAGCCGAGCTAAAACTTTAGCTGTGTTATTAAGGCCAAACGCGCTGCAGTCTATATCTGTTTTCAGTGTAAAAAGTTGTACCCAGGCTTACTTTTCCTACTCCAACTGCAACATAAAGTAAAGATAGAAGCCCAATTTAAATGTCACTGATCACAGAGACATGAGCTGATTATCCAGATATCTGTGTACGGCATCTATAAAATCACCAGCAGGGTGATACTTTGATGTTACTTAGATGTGATGTATTATGAAACTGTTCCGAGTATGAGTGAGTCCTTACACGGAATGATCTGAAGCACACGGTTCTTCTTCATGTTGGCAGGAAGGTTCCCAGTTCTCATGTTCTCCTTCATTATGCGAACGTTGGTCAGCTTCTGATGGGAGAAAACACGCACAGACGGAAATGATGAAAAAGTACATATAGAAAAGTACAATGCTAATAAAGCTGGTGAGTCTTTTTAAAAACAGATGATGCTGGAACATTTCCATACTTGTAACAAGTAAAAGCCAAGAAGCTGGACAAAAAACATTAAGGTAGAGACGAAGAAGAGGTGAAGAAGAGGCATTGGGGAATAATTCCTTCTAGTGTGTAGGGAACTGTGAAGATACTTTGTAGCAAAAATGTGAAATTTTCACAGAGCTACAGTAAATTCTATGAGGCAGATGGTGGTGCCTTATAAAGTTTAGTTGATCCAAAGCATTGTTATTTATGTTACTACTGCCAAGAGCTGCACCCTGGGCAAGTTTTCCATGAAAATATACCCATGCAGGGCGCAGGGTGATGGGCACGATTCATTACTGTCTGAAATGTTTAAGAGAGAGCTTCTTTCTTCATACCCTGAACTCCTCCTCCAGGCCCAGCCTGTCGTGGGGAGCCCTGGTGTTGTGAAGCCTCTGCAGATGGCCCTCCAGAGAGCACACATCTAGCTCTGTATCTCCATACAGATAGTACTCCAGCAGAGCCTGGTAGATAAAGGAGTACTGCATCTAAGAAAGAGGAAGACGAGACGAAGTTATAGAAGTAGTTGCTTTGGTTTGCCAAACTATTTCCCACTATTTTTGCATCACAGACATTGTTGTTTCCTATGCCCTCGCTTGTTTATGCCACGACCAGAGCAGCGAGTTGAGCTGTCAGTCCAAGGTACAACAGGTTGGAGAGGGTCAATACTTACATCTGTCTGGATCAGTTGACAGCGCTGTTCTCGTATTCTGCTCACAAACCCAAAGACATCCACTCTCTGTTCTATGTGCATCATGTCGATCATGCTGTCAATGACAATGAATGTCCCAGTCCGCCCAACCCCGGCACTGTGGAAACACAAACAAGAAGCCTCAAGGTCTTCTCTGTAACAAACAGCAAAGTGTACAGAACACCGAAAAATGTGGTTGGGAAGCGTTGAATGTAACATTCTATTTACATGTGCAAGAGCCTTCACAGGAGTGAATGTATACATACCACAAACACCTGAACATTTCATTTTCTAAGCGCTTTTTTTTTTTTGGCACAAGTTATTATATTTCTCTTAACATACAAGTCAATTGTGAACAGCTACAACCATATGTAGAAATACTTCACCTCTGAAGCCCAAGCACAGCCCTAATAAATTTACAGGGGTCATTTCAGCAGACGACACCTCTGGGAGCACAGAGCTTGGATTCCACGGTGGGGTGTTGAGGTCTTTTCAATGGGCCCCATTCAAGAACAACAGTTCCACCTCCCTGAGCACCTGTTGCACCAGTTGCTACAGTTGGCTGCAGATTTCTTTGGTGGGGCTTAACACTGGTTGGTCAGGGAACATATATACACCCTATGCAAGGATTTTTATTCATCCACAATGGGCTTAACTGTAGTTTTTATTAAATTTGTTACCTTTACTCATAACTATGAGCACTGAAAAAGTCTTTCCTGCATCCTAACAATGAAATGCATCAACTCACACCGGATTTATATAACTGTGCTCAGATGCCTTCTTCTGGCTTCCTTTTTACTGCACATTTTACCTGCAGTGCACAACAATAGGTCCAGCGTAGGATGGATTGACAGCTTTGACCTTCTTGAGGAATTTCAGCATGCCGATGGGTGAGAATGGCACTCCGAAGTCTGGCCAGCTGGTAAAGTGAAGCTGGGTGACCAGCCGGGGAGCTCTGGGACCATCGCTGCCCTGCTGTGAAGCAAAGACGCACAAGGTTCATATCGGTGCATAAATAATGCTTTGAAGGCACAAATAAGTCATCTGTCTTTTTATTTTTTACAAAGCCAGTCAACCACAAACTGGTACCTACTAGAAAAGGAACTTCAGTTTTATTGTTTTTCTTGTCATTTTGCTTTTTGGGGTAGAATGTAATTATTAAACACTTTGCCTCACTTTCATTTCTCATCGATACTCTAGAGATCAGAATTCCATTCTCTTGAACACTTGGTTGCTTTGTGTTCTGAGAGCTGAATGTTAAAGCACCCAGTCTGTCAGCTTGTACTGAAGAGCTACAGCAGTCACAGTTTTTAGAGTCAGAGAGGATATCTGTGCTCGTCTAGCTTCAGATGGAGAGGGAACAAAGTGAATTTTGGAGTCTGAAGGCTTCGCAGTACACTGAGTTGGCATCCAACTCGACAGTCAAAAAGACAAGAAAAAATACAGATACTGTATGTGTATGAATTTCGAAAGATAAAATGACGGAGCCAAACACTGCATATTAATACAGTTCTCGCTGTATTTTAAATACACCTACATATTTATAATTTATGCTGTGTCTGTTATCTATAGCCTTTGATATTCTCTAATATGTTTCCATACTGGTTTTTCATTTATTTATTATATTTTGGATCCTATTAACGTTTGCTAAAATGCTCCAATTTCCCCATGGGGACCATTTTTGCACCATCTCACCGCGGCTTAGTTTCATCTTCAATATTTAATAAGAATCTAGCAACTACACACATAGGTTGTTACATTATTACAGTAATTAAGAAGAATATTAAGAATAACTCGTAAAATTACAGTATTACTTTTAAACCATGTGTAGATGTTTAAATAAAAGCAGCAATGTACGTTTATTTTTCCTTTCCTTACAGTACAGTGTTTAACAGCTGCAAAACCATATCACACACGCACACCAGTGTGTGAAATATACTCCTGGAAACACCTACTCTAGCAGGAATTACCACAAAGATGTTTTTCAGTACTTTTGCAGGTGTTTATGCACTATATGCACAAAAGTATTGGGTCACACCTCTTAATTTGTGAATTCAGGTGTTTTCAGTCCCATAGCCACGGCTGTATAAAATCAAGCACCTCGTCATGAATCTTTGTACAATTTCTTCCCTCCTAGATATTTCGCTATCACGTATAAGTGCTACAGTTTTACTACAAGGCAAGTGCTAAGGTGCATAGTGTGTAAAAGACTCCAGCGCTGTGCTGACTTTAAAACAAATAGTTTCTAAACCTCTGTGCACTCTGTGCTTCATGCCATGGTTTACATGGCTGAGCAGCTCCTGTAAGACTAACGTGTAGGTTGTCAGTACATTTGTAGTATGTGTAGATTCACATATTTTACTTACATATTGAACACAGAATTTTCTAATGGTGTAGTCCACTAGTACAATGACATCCTCTAACGCCACCCTGATGTTCCCGTACATCCAGCAGCCTTTTTCTGGCCAGTACTGATAACATTTTTCCTGGTAATGGAGAAAAACAATACAAATTATTTTTGTGGTACTGCAAGGAAAATGAATGCCACTAAAAATGCATAGGAGCTCATTTGTCCTTGCAATTGTTGCTATAGACATGCATCTCTTTTGTACATACTATAGCTACATATAAAACTATCTATTTGATGTGTGCCTTTTACAAATTCAAAGGCACTCACAGCGACTTTGTGCTACTCTTTCAGTCAATAAGATCTTCACAATGACGTTTCAACTCATTAAATACATTCTCAGACTAATTATCATGAAGCCTCCTAGGATCTTATCAACAATTATTTCATCATTGATCCCCATTGCCTCTATTCTGCCCCATCAAACCTGCTGTTGAGCGCTCAATTGATCATCCCTTTGAGGCTAAATTTAATGCGATGCTAAGTAATCTGCTGGGTGACACTTTGCATGGATTCTCAGTTAAGAGAGGGGGTCGAATAAATTATGTCCATGACTTTGGGTCTTGAGAACTTAAAAGGGTTTTCACTAAACGTGCATCGGAGGCACAGGGATTTTAGATTTCTTTAGAATAATGCAGTGCAGAGAGAGAATACCTCCTTCCTTTCTTTTAAATTCGTCAGCATTACTATAGTTGTTGTTTTCTGTTCCCAAATCATCCGCCAGAAGTCAGCCACTGTCTCAGGTTTTGGACCTGAAACAGAATCAAGAGATGTAGTAAAACCAAAGTGAAAATGGTTATAGGCTTGGGTAAGATGAAAGAAAATGTGCATTTACCTTGAGCTGCAATGAATTTGTTCTTTTCTTTATAACCCTATGTGTGAAAAAAAAACAGTAGTGAATGAACATTTTGATGAGGAATTTTATTCACTTTATAGCTTAACCTAATTACTACTCACATCTATGTAAGATGCATTTATGTAGTCTGAGCACAAGTGTCCATCGAGATGACTTAACACCACCCTTGAATGATCGTCTGTGGAACAGAGGGGAAAAAAGGTAAATAAAAGTGGTTCTTAATTTTCATTTCAGCCCACAGCACGTTTCCTTATGTTGGCTATCAATAAGTCTGCAAGCCAGAGGGCTTTTGCAGAAATACTGTCTCCAACTGCAGAATATAGATCCTCACTCACATGGTAAAATATTTGGATATCTGTTTTTCTCTCTGTTGTGCTCTCTGCTCGCCTCCTCAAAGGACCCATGGTGGTAGTAACACGGCAGTGACTATAAAGAGAGAATCCAATCCTCATGAGATAAAAATAAAGCCACGGGTACAAAGGCTGCTAACATATAATCTTAGTACTGTTTTTGTACACTTTTTGCTGTATGGTTGCAGAACAAAGATCTCAATCCACACCAAATAAATGCATGCTTACATTGAACTCTTCTCTGAAGAGCTTGCCATCATCTGCAGAGCGTATCCGGTACTCCTCCTCCAATGAGTCCAAAGGGATAGGGAAGTACCTCTTGGATGGTGAAGGAGATCTTGGGGAGGAGGACCACTGTCTGCTCTCCTGTGGTTAAAAGAATATATGGTGGTCAGACTGCTAATGTCTCCCTGTAGAGAACATTACAAGCTCTTACAGCACCTGCAAAAACAAGCCTGATAGCTATTAAGATTTCCTACTTCAGGGGGTATATCATGACAGAAATGATTTCTTAAGCCATAAACATGCCCCTGCTGCACAAAACTGTCTTAACTCAGAATTTGGCCTTTCTGTTTATTTATGTCGTTTTTTTTACTTGAAGTGAAACTTCATATGGTTCCCTACAGGGTAAGAGCCTTCACAGCTACTTTGGACTCCAGATCGTGAAATCTTTCTTGTCCATAAAGAGACTGAATTTATAAACCAAATAAAAAAAAGGCTTAAAAAGCAAAAAGGTTGCTTTATATTTTCATGCAGTGGTTATATTGAGTACAGCACCAACGTACCTTGCTCCTCCAAGAAGCCGTTTGGAATTTTTTTATCCACTGAGGTAACCAGAGCTTTCCTGTGGTTTTTGAACCTACGGTAAAGACAGGGTGAGAGGTGAAGAAAAGCACAACCATCTATTAAAGAGAAAAAAAAGAGCTAAGCTTGATCTCTACAATGGTGCCACTAAGCACATAAGTAAACAACAAATACCAAAACCAATATCAACCATCTCATAGAACCAAAGCTGTTCCTCCTCATGTTGTTGTCAGCTGGCTGGTCAGTGAATGAGTGTCTCTGGCGTGACTTGACCTAGCCGTCTTTGTTTATTGTCTTAGTGGAAGAGCAGCTGTTTATCCATAAGCCACTGCTGACCGCCTATTTAAAAACCACCCCACCCCGATGCCCCAACCTGATGTATTCACCCTCATGCTCGCGCACATACACGTGAAAAGGGAGCTGGAATGAGTGAGAAAGTGTTAATGTGTATGTACAGATTTATTCACCGCAGGCAGTAGATTGTCAGCAGGACAACGATGATAAGAAGAAGGGATAAAACCAGTGTTGAAGGCAACACATGCACACCCTGATGGGTGGAGTTTCCTAGATAAAAAAACAAAGTGAACAACATATATTAGTTTACAACAAAACAAGCTTTTAATCTAGATATCACATATTACGGAATTTACTATATCTGGGATGTCAAGAGCCACATGTAGTCCACTTTGATCCCTTTCTGTCAGTGTGAAGACATTTTTTTTATTGTTGATTTTTTATGTTTTTTATTTTGTCTGTTTTTTTTTTTTTTTATCTATTATTAATCTATTACTTAACTACTTGTCAATGGGGAGCTCTTCATGAGTAGGAAAAGCTATAAAACTTATGAAAATACAGTCAAAAGTCCAAAATCTATGCTTGCCTTGACATTTTCCAAAGCCATCCAGCTGGCCAGATTGGAGTCTTTGCTCAGCTGATTCTGGCCCCCGGGGCTTACTGTGTGTTTGACAACCTTGGACTATAATAAAGAAATATACTGCAAATACATTATTTGCACATGAAGCAGAGCTTCGGTTGAAATCAGTTTTTTTTAACCTTTAAAGAGCACTCATTGACCATTTATTTTTTCCTTGTTTTATTTAAATTTAATTCAAATTCATTTGTAAAGTGGTTTTAAGGGCATTTCCTGGACTATTTTTTACTGGAAGTCACTAATCACTGTCTAGAAATAGTGCAATTTTGTGCTAATCTAACTGGTGCTAGTATAAGATTTGACAGACAGACGTGAAAATGTTCAGTCCATCTAACTTAAGAAAGAGCATTATTATGTGAAATGTGAATCTCTTCTTTACAGCATGACTTTGTACATTTTTTGAAAAATTGTAACTGAAGCCATAAATGACAATGGTGCATAAAATAGAGTAAAATATAGGGTAACAGAAAAGATCAGCATATATGTCTTAAGTTTGTTTATTAAATCATAAGGTACGAGATATACAAGTTCGAGTAACGTTGAATTCAAGTCAGTTTATCTGGTTTTCCTTTATATGTGAAAAGAAAAATCGTATCCTTCTAGAGTCTGGCTTTAACATTTATTTCTTAGACAATATAATTGCTCAGTTGTTTCATCAGTTACCTGCAGTTTGGTTCTCATGAGAAGAATTATTCACAGGAATTGAGATCCCAATCAGAAACAACACCATTGTCACTGTGGATAAAAGAAAAAAAAACCCCAAAGCAGTCACTTCAACAGAAAAAAACAAAAAATAACAGAATAAATCCTGCAATTCTATACAAACTCCACTAGACGGCACCAAACCGACATGAAATGCACCTACAGCTGGATACAAAACATAGAGGGCACAAAGGGGAGCTGGGCTTTGAAGATGTCTCTCTGCTGAGCAGTTAAAGTACTTGTGGGAAATCTGCTTGCTGTCTTGTCCTGTCAGGCTGACTTGAAAGAGCAGCATCAAATAACCTAATATTCAGACATCAAACCAGAGAGGAGGCCTTAACCCACAGGTGACAGTAACCATATACCCTATGGGCCTAGAGGATTTGGCAGTGGAGCTGAGCTCAAGCAGTATTTGTTCGAGACTATCTTGTTTTGCTGTGGTCTGTTTGATGTACAGCACTATGCAAAGCTTAGCGGCAACAAGACACACGTGTGTACTCACTGTACTTTGTTTTTTTACAAAAGTAAGTTCATGTTGCACATTTAAATAGGTTACACCTCTGCCCCACTGAACCTTCTCCCATATTCTCCATCTTTCACCGTTTCTTTCTCCGCCGAACCATAATTTTACTCTAAACTATATTCTAACTCTTTCCTTTGGCTTTATAGCTGAAAGCTTTTAGTGATGTATTTGGGGCAGAGTGCCACGAGTGTCCTTGCAAAAAGGAAAACAGTATGTCAAATTCCTTACAACTTCGTCAGAATTAAATTAATTCCAACACATTATGTCTGTCTTTTTTATCTACAAAGTACCAATTTCTCCAAAATCATATCCATTTCTTCTTTCTTTCCCATCCTCCAAACGAGAGGGCATAAAAATCACAGAATAAATTGAGCAAATGGGGCAAATCTGTCTAAATGGCTTTGATGGAATAAATGGGAGAAGCAAGAATTGAGTGTCCTAATTTATCCTCTGTTCTACCTCCCCGACTTGTTATAGAGGCCACAAGACTGGATGGAATAATTCATTGTGTCAATTTAGTTCTTCTAGAAATGGGTCATCTAGGGGCCTAATTTGTGATGTTTGAGAGAATTTTTTGCACATAACCCAAGGGGGGTTTCATATAACTATGGCTCCCAAAGCTTTTGTAGAAAACTGAGCTACATAATAACCCTCTAACAATGTTCCCAAAACAAAATGTATGCCTAACCTATAAATTACTATTGGACAACAAATAAGTGGCTGTGTTTTGTTTGTATTTCAATTTCTCTCTGCAGCAACACGCTACACAACACCTATGATCGAGACACACATTTACACAGAAAGTTGAGGCTACTGTGCATTTTTTTTACCTGAATAATCCCCAGGAAGACAAATCAAATAAATCCACCCAATCAATGGCCCAGAAGCATGACTGTGTGCAATGCACATACGCTCACTGCCTTTTCACACGTACGCATGCCTGCACATAATGTACGCCCCACAGCCAAAGGCAATGTGTTGCATATGTGCAGCACTCTGCCGAAGGAGCCACTTCTCTACCCAGTGTTAACAAGCTGACAGTGCCAGCACCTGTTCCCCGCTCTCCCCCACGAGGCAAGTCACATTCGCTCACATCGTACATCCCGCAACTAGATGTTGTAAGGCATATTGCGCGTATGGGGGTCACCGCACAGGTCATTGCATATCTGTCATATTCTGGCAGCTCCTGTATATACACCGTATAGCCAGGAAATAGGAGAAAAGAGTTTCATTGTGAAAAGATGTCAAATGCTCTGTTACCTTGAGCAAAATCGTAAAAAGAAGAAACAGTAAGTCATATCTTTTTGTATCACTAAAGGGAAAAGCAGAAGCGGAAAATAGAACAGTGTGAATGAATTTTAAGATAAGATAAGCAACTCTAGTGTGACCAACAGAGGAACAGCACAGCTTATATGCTGTACTGACACGCTGTAGCATAACAAAAACACGCTTATAACTTTTTAACCTTACGGCTGGCGGTATATATCATAATTAGTAGACCCAGTCATTTAACCCTCATAGAAAGGGGAACCTGTCCAGGGTGTACCCTGCCTCTCGCCCTATGACAGCTGGGATATGCTCCAGAACCCCCCGCGACCCTGAAAAGGATAAGCGGAAGCATGGATGGATGATTGTGTCATTCCTAGCAGGCATTGCATCATTCACTCCAGATGCCTGCTTTTTCTCTTTAATGAAATACTTGCAGCAGTGCGATTACTTCAACCTGCAGCACCTGTTTGACATAAATGTTCCCAGGAAATAAAATTATACTGCATCACTTATGTTGGGAGTGCAGACGCAAATCATCCCATCCATGCATGATGTAATGCAACGATTCAGAACGCACGTATGCATTATTCATCAGTGATCCACTTTGCTTTGTGAGCACAGAGGAGACAATGATCAGCACATGAAAATAAATGTGTGTGGCAGCTGCAGAAACAGACCCTGCTGGATTTCAGCAGTATAAACTTCAAATCACTCCCCTCCTAGAGTTATGATATCCTAAAAGATCTATTTCCAACAATAAAACAAAGAAAACACAAAATAAAGCAAGAAAAAATGTTGCTAACCTGGGTAAGAGAATTTCCTAGTTCTGTTATCAAAATGATTGTCTTCCCTCTTAATTAGTTTTGTATTTATCCTCACAGATGTGGCCAGGCAATGTCTTCTTAAATAAAACAACAGCTGTATGAAGCCACCACAAATATGTTCCCTATTGTTGCTGTTTATTTGAGCAAATGCTGGTGAAGAATTTAACATATTTTAAATAAAGCAGAGCATCACATCTCGAGGCTTACCATCTGACGTCAGTTAAACACCTTTTTGTAAATAATTTATTATATTCACAGATCAGAGAGAATAAAATAATATGAAGGTTTTACAAAAATCTGATTTTCTTATTTCTATCGATTTCTGTAGATAGATACAGCAACTTCAAAATTATTTATGATAGTCCACATTTCCTAGGCATGGCTCTGGGGTGGGGCTCTTGTGGTCCTCTCATGAACAGGGTAACTTGCTCACTTTATTTGCTTTCTTTACATGGGGGTTCACTGAATTTGTCTTCTTCTGGCCCCTCACCCAGGAACAATCTGCCGTGGGAGAGCCTATCAGGAGCAAATTGCCCCAAGCGACACAGCTCCTGGGGTCACTAGGGTAAAAAACCTCCCCAAGGTGGCGATTCAGCTACGGCCACAAGCTGTGACTATAGGACTGAGGTTCCAGAAATGAACGACCTCCGAAGGGCGTCTGGGCTCAGTTCTAGTGATAGGATAAGGAGCTCGGTCATTCTGAACGGGTTAACAGTGGAGGTGGTACTCCTCCTCCAGAATGTCTCCCAGGTGCCTTCTAAGTGAGATTATATCTCTCGGTTACCTTGGGAATGCCTCAGGATCGCACCCAGATGAGCTGAAGTAGGTAGCCTTGGGAGAGGGAGGCCTGGGATTCTCTGTTTAAACTGCTGGGTCTGTGACCCAGACTCAGATAAGCACGACAAAGATCTATCTATCTATCTATCTATCTATCTATCTATCTATCTATCTATCTATCTATCTATCTATCTATCTATCTATCTATCTATCTATCTATATATATATATATATATAGATATATCAATGGGGATGTGGCGTACAACACTAGAGGCCAACTCCAAGCCCATAGCACAAGTCACCATCAAGTGCGGGATCTACCAAGGAGATGCTCTGTCCCCACTGCTGTTCTGCATAGGCCTGAACCCCCTCAGTGAGATCATTAACAAGACTGGCTACGGATACCGGCTACGGAACGGAGCAGTTGTCAGCCACCTCCTGTACATGGATGACATCAAGCTGTATGCCAAGAGTGAACGAGACATCGATTCACTGATCCACACTACCAGGCTATACAGCAATGACATTGGAATGTCGTTCGGACTGGAGAAGTGTAGTCGGATGGTATCAAAGAGAGGGAAGGTAGTCAGAACTGAGGGGATTGAACTACCAGAAGGCAACATTGCAGACATAGAGGACAGTTACAAGTACCTGGGGATCCCGCAGGCAAATGGGAACCATGAAGAGGCCGCTAGAAAGGCTGCAACCACCAAGTACCTGCAGAGGGTCAGGCAAGTCCTGAGGAGTCAGCTGAATGGTAAGAACAAGATCCGGGCCATCAACACGTACGCCCTGCCCGTGATCAGGTACCCTGCTGGGGTAATAGGCTGGCCAAAGGAGGAGATAGAAGCCACTGACATAAAGACAAGAAAGCTCCTTACCATGCATGGAGGGTTTCACCCCAAGTCCTCACATATACATACATATATATATATATATATATATATATTTTATTATTATATATTGATTTGTCCTGACCCAGACCCAAATTGTAATATCTGTCAACTGTAATGCCCATTCATGCAAGCATAATGATTTTTAGATTATTTGAGTCATCCTGTTTCCATAATGTGATGCTGTGCTGCTATTCATAATTATGGGAGAGTGAGTCTACAGAAAAAAGGAGAGAAAAGGAGAAAAGATACATACAAATTAGACTGACTTGTGAGGCCACTTGTATCTCTCAAATCTTTTAAGTCAGTTTCTGAGTGTTCACACGGAAACTGAACATTTCATTCATGCACTTCCTCTGTGGTCACTGTTTTTGCTCTGTTACTTTAGTATATATACTCTCATATATACACTAGTATGAAACAAACAATAGATTTCAGCTGTTTATTTCTGTGTAATCTATTCAACATGAGCTGGCATTTACAGCAGGTTTTAACAGACAGTCTTTAATACAATGCTACTATTTAAATTTGCTGACGTCAACCATGTCTATTGTTGCACATGCAGTATGTGCTACTCAACCCTGATTCAGTATCTGCATAAATCGGTTAGTCAAACACATCTGTTTCTGCTCATACAGCTTTTCTTTTCTTTAGTAAAGTCAACACTCGACTTTCCTTTCACTTGATTTCTGTGCCGTCCATTTCAGCAGCACACTGTTGATGTCAAATGCATGCAGATAAACTGATTTTTAATGTAAATGCAGTTTACTGTGTAGTTTACCATGACCACCTGCCTAGCCACTGTGTGGTTAAAGGCTAACAGCCTAAAGCCTCTGTGACTGTACTTACATCAGCATGCTATAACATGACCAAAATGACAGCATTAACATATCTGCAGCTCTCTTTCAGGCTCGCCACAGCAGATCATCTCCCTCTATTTCACCCTATCCCTAACATCTTCATCAGTCACAGCAAACCTCTGCATTTCCTCCTTCCTTACATCCATTAATCTTCGCTGAGGTCTCCCTCATTTCCTACTTTGATCCCACTTTTGTCTTAGTTTAGTTTTGGCACTTTAACAGCCAACACAAGCCGCCCTTTTCTTTTATACCATTTGACTTCATTTCCTGCATTTGGGCTCTACACATGCTATACTGTGACAGGTTTCAAGGTATTTAATCAAATATAGTTAACTACATAATAACCAATGACAGCAAGTGCCTTTACATTGCCTCCCAATGCACTCTCCAAATGCCTCCAACTGATCCAATTAAAACCAACTGTAATGTATAGTCTGCCATTTGGAGGATAGCTAGCATGCTGGCATTTGTAATTAGTACTATGAAAGAAAATGTGAATGTCTAAAATGTATTTGATGTCAAGGACGTTGGGGCATTTCACTCATAAATGGTTCGTTTAAGCATTATTCACCCCAAATGACATTCAGATCAACATTGCCTCTGGACACTTACAAAGTATAGCACTTTCTTCTATTTCATTGGGGTTATTTACTTTTTAACTACAGTTGACACTCTATATTACAACTACGCAGTATGTATGTCTGGTTAACAAATAGCAGGTACACCGAGCTGACCCTGCTGAAAGCTTACTGCTACTGAAAACACTACTGCTTTGAAAAATGCATGCATTTGTAAATTATTCAACATGTTCCATCAATGACACTGTGTAGAGGGCATCTATGGCTGTTTGCCAGATGCAGTGCTAGAGAAGAGCAGTGCATGACTATATATATGTGCCCAACACAGCATTTAAAGAATATGGATAGTATTTACTGCAAACTTAACTTTAAAAAAAAAAGAAATATAAAAACTGTTCATAAACAAAAACAAAAAAATCCAAATAGATAGCTACATCCAATTGTGTCTCAGTTTCCTCAGATCGATAAAGATTCCAAGACAGATTCACATTGTGTGCTCAGCATGAAAGGATAAAAAGGATAAAAAGATTTTTTTGGTTTCCAGGGAACAGAAGAACAAAGGCAGTGCAAAAAAAAGAAAGAAACGAATACCAGAAACAGCCACCACTTCCGTTGTCAAGCGCCAAGGAAAAGGATGGAATGAGAGCACAAACACATGTCAGTAAAGTGTGACAGCAGAGAGGCAGGAGACATGAAAGAAGAGATGAGATGAGAAGAGGGAGGAGAGGAGTTGAGCTGCAGGAGATAAATGTCAAGATTCTGGGTTCACAGATAACAATCATAATGGAAGACATCCTTACTATACAGAGGTAGTAAAAAGAATGATGCTTCACAGGTTTGGGGAAATCACTGCCATATCTTTAAATGCAACTTTTCAAAATACACCTGTCACAGATTTTATGAAACATCATATTACAACAGCTTTTTTTTTTTTTTATCAGAAAGACGTTTAACCTAACAGTGGGAATCCTATTGTATCTTTATCTCAATGTTTAAACCATGTTTACAGCTCAAATCCCTGCCTGTTGCATAGTAATGACTGAAAGAATCAATTTGGAGAAACAATTTGAAATTAAATTAGTCTCATCTACAAAGAGGACACAGTCATCATTTCATTATTTCCTATTAATGAATTGAATTGTAATTGATCCTCTAAAAGATAATTGACCTGCTCTGTGGTCAGATGCAATAAAAGACTTACACTTCCAAGCAAAGCCACACTGATCTGCTTTCAGCTGACTCGTCAGTCCATACCAACCATGTGATCCTAGTTCCTTTTCCTTTTCTCTGTTGACTTTATGGGGGTTTTCTACCCAGTCCTTCTCCTACACATCATTTAAGACACCGATAATAGTGTTGAATCAAGAGATCACAGAGGTCGTTGGCAGTGCCTGAGGTTACTCTCAGCTTTGGATCAAATCACAAGAGAAAACCTGGAAAAAAAAGCAAAAATACAATAGTTAGACACGTATTAACCATCCTACTGTTATGCAGTATGTACTGTATTATATTCTGAAGCAATAATGAATGTAGCTTTTCTATGACTCATGTTTTACAGATGACTCAAACACATGAGAAATGCACGAGTGCAAAATAAAAGGCAGGGTTAATGAGTAGGGTTTGCATCTGTAAAATACGCCAGAGAAAATGAATATGCATTGCATTTAATCAGCTGAATGAGTACGTGTATCTGCAGCTCTCTTTACTGTGCATGCCCAGCATTCATATACTGTATAGTCCTCTCTTCTATAACATCCTACTGCAAGCCAAAACTGTTAAGACGTTAATGATCTCTGACCAAACATATCTTCTTCAATTCCAACAAGGTGTTGGTTACAAACAGGACTGTCCAATAAAGTTGTCACCACACACGGCCTTGTACCCGTCCACAGATGTGCCTACAAAATAATAACCACCACACAAAATGTGTTGGAATTATTTCTTTACTGTTTTCACAAAGATATAAAAGTGATGATATTCTATTGTCTTGAAGTCAGAGAAAGAAAACATGGCCTTTTTGCGCACTCACTCCTACTTTACCGGTATTGCACTGCCCACAGGTGTGAGACACAAAGGCATATTGTTAACACTTGCCACTGTAACGCAGCTTAATAGAGCACAAGGAGAAGAGATGAATTAGTCACCTTATCCAGCTGGATAAGCTCACTCAGTCCGTCTGAGCTGCGGTGAGGAAAATAAATGAACAAGGTTTGGAAAACACCTCTTTTACCCCTTGAAGTAGGAGCAAGTTTTCCAAGTGCTTTACAGCTGCTGGCATTTTGACCTGAGAACTGCAACGCCTTTGTATCTGAGACTTTGGTAATCAGTAATGGTTTTGAACTGCATGTCTATAAAGATGGAAGATCTTCAAGAAAAACACCATAGTTTTTCTGTTTTTTCAAGGAACACAGATACCAAATTAACCACTTCCCGAACAAGATAGTGTCACAAAGTAACTTAACAGTATTTTAGCTGACAGGTTTGTCATTGCAGTGAACTTATTAATTTCCCACCAAGGATATTAAATTTGTGCGTGTGCTTCTTAAAGGCTCTATAGGCCTTATATATGCCACTAAAACAATTATGTGCTATATTGTTTTAAAGTCCCAAATGGACAGACTTTTAAATCTATAAACACTGGGACAAATTAAAAAGATTTTTATTACTAAAAAGAAAGAACTGGCAAATGTAAATAATATGTCAATTAGAAGACTGTGTCCTTATAGCACTCCTAAATCTGTATTTTGTTGGCTGGCATTTCCAGAAGAAGTTCAATTCTGGAGACATTCGGTGACAATACAGCTAAAATGAGACTGACAGATCATTTCAGGTAATATGTTTTTGCCACTTTAAACCAGTTAGTAGATTTGATTTTATCCTGCCTGGTTAACACACTCGAAGCTGAGCTCCTTGGGGCTTTCTGGTAGAAATCCCAGCTGTCTATCTATAAAAAATACTGTTTCAGAGGGTTTAAGAAAAGTGTAGTTATTAAGCAGTGGTAAAAAAAAAAAAAAAAAAAGATATTAATGATGGATAAAAATAGGTAATGTGTTATACTGAAGTTATACACGCTAAAGAATTATGTTGGGTTTTTCACAATGTAATATATTATTATGAATGTTAAAAAGGCTGAGTTAAATTATAATAGGTATAAAAAATGTATGAAATGTGCTAAGTTATTCATACTGTATTTCATGTGTTTAAAGGTCTCTTCGGAGATAGTTAGACAATCATTTTCAACTTTTCAGCCTTAGTATTTTGGTCCTTTCAGCCCTGAACATTCAGTCCAAAGAAAAGCGAGACATGCTCAGAGCATGCAGTTTATTCCAGGCAAAAGCACTTTCTGTGCCGCCCTGTCCATTGACTAACAGAGGAAACATGCACGTCATTAAAATTTGATGTGAGTGCATCATCACCCAGCACTGTGTGATTCAATCATTAATTCATACCACAACAGGCAACCCTGGGAACCGTAGCTAAGCAGTTTTGAAGTAAATAATCTGTTCATTATTATCATTATCATCATTATTATTAGTAGTAGTACTAGTAGTAGTATTATACTGTGATGAAAATATTTATAATCCCCATTCAAAAATGATGGGTGCTTTTCACATGCTCTCGATTTTAAATGATCATGCTATTCAAATCCTGCTTTCCTAAGCCATTAATACAAAATTGATGGCTTTGATATCTGAGGCTCATGCGGTTCCCTGTTATGATGACTCCTTGATTTCATGTTTAAAGTAGGTCTTCGGAGAGCATATAATGTCTGCAGGCACCTTCATTCATAATGCTTAGTGTGGAGAGCCAGCTGAGGTTGTATTTTGCTAGTTGTCGGTTGGAAAATTTGATTTCACGCAGATCACACGGCCTGTCTGTTTGCAAATTTGATTTCATTTGTGTGTGGGGCTGCCCACTGAAAAACTGCCAGGACGACAAGACAAAACGCTGATTTTGCAGCAAGAGAAAAAGGATGTTAGAATGCCTCCTATGTGTTTATTTAAAGCATAGCGAGTTTGAGGCTTTTCATAACCTCTCTGCTCACACTAACCATAAACCTTTAACGACTTGCTCATTGAGCATGTCAGTATGGCCTGAGCCTCAAACACCAGTGCTTTGAAATTAGCAATTAATATTATTTTAAATGTTATTTTTATACACCCATATGAGAGAATGAGCAGAGTAATCTCCAGCCTGCAGTTTGAGGACACTGAAAGTGACACTTCTAGGGCACACTATAGGTAAAACCAGGGACAAGCGATGATAATCACTGCAATTACAGCATCGCCACTCGTTCTTCTGCTGCTCAGCCAAGGATAACGAGTTAGCTTATTTTACTGGAGTCCACTACAAGTGGCATAAAGTGTGAGCAAACAGAGCAAAACTGCTTTAGGCTATCATATACTTAAAGCTCAACTTAGAGCGTGCGGTACATATTGCTAGACACATTGTTTTATTTCGTTTTCAGCTTCATTTTGACCCACCAAACTGCTCATCTAATTAATATGGCTCTCTTTAGATTTGCTTGATGCAGGTGTATTCTCTGACTCCGTCACCATGAGAGTTGCCTGAAAGAATCTTTGTGTTTAAGTGCAGTGTCTCATTAAAGTGAAAAATGGCTTTCTTCCCCCACTAACAGACAGACTGACAAGGCTAGCACTTCCTCTTCTCACAGCAAGCTGCACCTCAAATCATGGTTTACTTAAGAAACCCTGAGTGAGCATGGCAAGTAGCCAAGCTTGAAACAGACTCTGTGATTATATCAATTCTATAAACAAAAAACAGACTTGAGTGATGAGATAAATTTGAGCAGGCTTCTTTGTTTTAAAAATGGTCTGTCAAGATGTAGACTTCTTAATAAATAAACGTGTATAGGTGTGTCTTAAGTGCATATGTAAGAATGACAGTCACTGTCATTCGACACACTTCATCATAATCATGACTGAAGAAGGTGCGGTCATCTACACACAACTGTAATGGTTTATGAGGTTATGAGGTCTCTTGCAACCAATTGGTCCAAAAAGCATCTCATAGTGCTAAGTGCACACATGCAATCCATAGAATGAAATATAAGCTTCTTTTATCAGTATAAAATATAATGTCAACAGCAAGGTCCATTTCGATAAGAGAACAATAAAGCAGCTGCACAAGCGCCAGATAAAACGAAGTTGGACTTAAGTAAGGCAACATAGAAGGGTTGCTTTGCACAAATCCTCACTGGTTTCACTATAGATATATATATCTGCATGAATCACAGGTTTTCTCTACATTAATATATAATAGATTGTATATAATAGATTGATACAGTACCTTAAATATGATATCATTTCCAATGGTTAGCAACCTCAGCTTCTTTAATCTATGACCTCAGCTAAAGCTTTCCTGGGAGAACTTTTGAACTGGCTGTTAGTTTCAAGTCTTAATGTATCCAACATGATGGGTTTTTTTGTTTGTTTGTTTTTGTAAATTATAATTGCTAAAGTCCAAAAAAGTGACTAAAGAAAGGCATTCTTCAGTATGATAACCAACTCATTAACATACAAGCATGTAGTGTTGTTCAGTTTCTTAGTCGTCAGGACTACCCCTTGATGACCAAGATGGTGAAAATGTTCTGCTCAAGGTGTAACAATGGGACAGTCTGTAAACTATGGATACAAACCAAGTACAATCAACTTTAGGGGACATATGTGCCCACCTTTAAATAGCATATGTATGTAGGATTTTAAAATAAACAAAGTGCATATATTGTTATGTATTAGCCTTATGTCCCTCCAGACTTTTTCTCTATTTTTCTTCACCAATGGTGTTCAGCACTTGTCTCACATCACATGACACCAGCGAAACCCCAAATTAGGTTTTACAAATTCCATCTGAGAGAGCATATGGCAACCACTGAATTGGTCCTCAAGGATGTCACTTTGGGCAAACAATAACAGAAAAGTGGATGATGTTGTAATATTCACTCAACAATAACATGTTTTCTACACATACAGTTGCCATATCAGTGTTCACCACTTCAGTTAATGTTCAGCTTTATAACCAGGCATCCGTTTCATCCATCCATGCAAAACACTTAACATTGGCCATTACTTTCAGCTATGCAAACCTGTTTTAAAAAGGCCAGAATCTACCATTCTTACCTTAGGATACTGAAAAGTCATCATCTGCAAATTAACTTTTTTTTTATTAACATGTGTCTAACTATAGCTCGTGTATTCCCAAGGTGAAAAAGATGTGGGCTAAGTAGCTTGATACTCACCCAACAGATGGGGAATGTGAGGTAATACCAAAATTCCCATTAGCTTTTACTGGCCCATTTAATCAGGGATGGAACAGGAGGTTAGGTTATTGTGAATGAGGTTATGGTGAATGAGGGGCATTTATAATTCATGTTTGAACACAAGGCGTTTGAATCAGAGTTCCTTAATGCAATTATAGAGACCCCATTCTCTCATTCACCCATTTAAATAGTACCATCCAAACATCTTCACCAGCTACATAGAAGCTCCCTGCCCGTACTGTGCTCACTTGTTCTTGATTCCTACTGCAGCATTTTCATATTAGCTCACAATTAGCAAAACCAGCTATTTAATTTCTAAACTGTTATTTTTTAAACTCAAAATCAGAGCACAGCATGTCCTTTCATCAAAACAGCCACATACAAATTAATTGACACATTACTCTCTTCTCACACGATATAGCAAAAACAGATCAAGCTACAGCATGATGTGCAACTGCAAAGGAGCTTAGAGGCCTGCCTACTACTGCATGTGTACTCATCCCTTTATATATATATATTTTCTGTCTAGAGCAGGGAGCTGCTGCAAGTACAAAAACTGTGACTGAAGAATTACCTATACGTAAAATATCTAAATAAATGATTAAAAAAAATGCAGATCGCCGTATAATGAATATAAAAGCAATTATTTTATAAATATATATAAATCACATGGGGCATCCTGGTGGTAGCAGGGTGCATGGCATTGCTCCACTAACCCACATTTACTGTAGTCCATGTTGCCAATGTCCAGGAATGACGAAGAAATATAATGTCCAGTCTCCGTGACCTGCAATCCACTCTCTGGATTGCTGCTCTTGCAGATGCTTTTTATGATTTTTGCTTGATGGACAGTGTGATACACACGGGCAGTGGGATGCACGCAAGCTACGCTGACAACCGGGAGCAGCTGGAAAGCTTTGCTTAATAACCGAGGGTAAACAGTCGGTGTTTACGCATAAATACGCAAACGGAATTAAAAATAATAATAATAATAAGCCTGTCTGGTTTCGCTGTGTTTTTCAGCGTATCTTACCGCGGTACTGCGGTGACCTCGCCTCACACGTAGCGGCGGCTGATATCGGCTTGTGTCGTTCTGCACGGTTCGTCCGGACGCCGGTCTCTGCTTATGTCGTTTGGAGAAAAGCACAAAACGCACTCAGTTGTGGAATCATCTGACAGGATCCGAAGAATGCGTTTAGGTTCCCCTGATGATCATGTTTCCAGCAGACCTCTCTGAGGATGTGCTTCCCCCTCCTGCCTGTCTACATGCGCTGAGCCGTATTATGGCAGCCAGAGTGGAGACTGGAGACCCTCCCCCGGGCGCAGAGCAGTATCAGGTGGACGCTCAGCATCCTTCACATTCCTGCATCACTGAGGGATAAAGGGCAGGCCTTTGCATATAAATGCTCAGCCGGCCTTAGTTTGTCTCCTTCCTTATGGTACGTTTTACGGCTGGCATCTTAGGTTGATGTTTGCTCAAAAGAATGCTCAAAAAGCCTTCCTTTAGTATTCTTCTGAGGGTTTTACATTAGGAGTTCAGAAGTGACCTTATTTAACTTTATAATGTTTTCACATATTAACCTCGGCTATATGATGCTATAGATACGACGAATTTCTGACAAAAAGTTTATACATCTTAGTTTTTCTCTCATATTAGCAAGTCATCCAACACTTTATTTCAGTTTTGTGTATAAAGTAATGGAACACTCATGAATAATGCATCATATTGGGTTTATGTGTACACTGGGCATGGTATTTACAAGTAGATGTTAGTGTACAAATTAATATTGCATGAATCATCCCTAATGTATATGTCTTTGTCTTCAGCCCACTGTTGCTCAGAAAATGTTTGCAGTCACATTGCGTTAACATTAAGTCCTGCACAGCAAGTGGCATTTGCATGGGAGTCATTATGACTCATGAGCTCCAAGGTAAAAATTTGAAGGGCGTCTGGGTAAAGTGTCTTTCATACCCGTAGATTTGAAGGTAAATTTTAAGTATGCAGAGGCTGTTGAATATTATGGTGATGATAATGACCTTTTGTACATATAAAACAAACAAACCAATATGTAGACATACATATATACACACATACGTGCATATACATGTATACATAAATATGTATACGCATACATACGCATGTGTAAACAAGATCAACAAAATCTACATTATAAGAATTAGTTGTGACAAAAATGTGCCTCTTAAAGATATTCTAATGGAATAATCCTCCGTGGCATCATAACGTGAAAACATTTAATATAAATGGGCAGCTTTGCTGACCTCTTGTGGAAGGTATATCAGTTAATACAATAATAAGTCTTAAGCTATGGAAAATTAATTTTGTCAATAAATGTGTTAATGCTGTGGGATAAATAATAAATGATTATGGAGTATCTTTGTTTTGAGCTTTGTCTGTCGGTTTTAAAGCTGCATTTGATGTGTTAATAAGACTTGTAGACAGTCAACTGAGGGCTGACAATAACACTTTAGACTGGCTCACAAACATGAAAGCTATGTTGCAGACCTGTTATAAAATCTGTGTCTCCAGAAAAGTAGCTCGTGCTTTCCAGTTTTATATAAACGTAATTTTAGTTTTGTTCATTTCACTGAAAACGATTCCACTCGCTGCATTTAGACTCAGTCATACTTCATACCTCCAAAGTGGAAATGGCCACAGACACGTTCACTTGTATTGAGACAATTAACAGTGTTCTGGGTGGATGCCTGCAGAAAAATATGTAATATAATATACAACTTCTCTTTATAAAAGTGGGCACAGTATAAAAAAAGACCCTTTAGTGTTTACATAAAAATCTATAACTAAGCATTTTGCAACACAGATGGCAAAATCTATAATTAATAATAATGCACTTCATACATACATATTACATATAATGAAAAAGATTCAACTGCTGTGTAATTCTGACTCATTTACTTCTGAAAGATTTGCAAACATAATGTAGCTTCTGAACTGAGAATAAGTAGCAACTCTGTTTTTGAAATAATCATGACAGTTCAAAAGTTGCAAAGAATTGAAGAAGCTCTCCTTTCATGTTCTTTATGCATTATCATCTTAAAGTCATTTTTAATATATGTGTGTCATTTAAACAACAGCCATCCTTTTGAAATGTGTTGAACACCAGTTGCACATGACACATTCAGCTGGGGGCAGTGTTGCTCTATAAATTCTGCATCGAGCACTGCTAATGCTGAGCCGTGCTTAGTGAGTCATTAAGGCTTGTGTGTGTATGCAACAATGACCCATTCACTCAGATTTACTTAATCACACAATAATATATTTTTGGTTCGCTCCACAGAAAGTAAAAGAAAGCGAACCAGCTGTCATGCTCTGTGCTCAATAACCAAGCTGAACTGTGTGTGAAATATGAGGATTGTGCGCCCAGATGTTAGTTGCCACAGAAGAAACACTTAAACCACTTCTTTTTGTAAAAAAAAGGAAGACTGATCCTTTAAATATAGCTACTTTAAAATAATTTATTTGTCTCATTCTCATTAAGTTTTAACCAATGACAAATGTTTGGTGTATCACTAAAAGTTTGCACCTTCACAGTGAACAGGACCGAGGCTTTTAGCGAAGGTCATTTTGCCAGTGGACAATGAGACACTATGCTGTATGTACATTTACTTCCTCAAGGCTCAAGAGACCTTTAGGGAGGAAAATGTTTTCCGCCTGCATGTCAAATAGACTTCTGTCCCGAAAAACACCTCAGCCTGACCTTCATCACTTCTTTTCATCCCATGGGAAGAACCGATTTCTTCACATCATGACTTTAAGCCTTTAACATCACGGTTTCTTTTTATTTCTTTAGATTGTTCAGTTACAGTGTTGATTTCGTTCATTCATGCCTAACACAGGAATGCTGCTTGCAGTCCGTGGCAAATCCAAGCTGCACATCTTAAGCGGTGTCCTTGTACTTGAAACATCTGCAGCTTGGCACTAGCGGGCATATTTTTCTGAAATAGGCCATCGTGACAAGTTGTTCACTAGTGACCGCTGGCAGTGATATAAATTTTTCTTTCTGTCCTGCCTGTTGGGTCTAATGCCAAAGCAAGAGAAAAGGTGCTGCTGTGAGCTTTATGACAAAATGCTTTATCCCCCATTAACCTTCACAGAGTGAATATCAGGAGGGGATTTCAGGTGGAATAAAGCACCAGTGTCAACAGGCAGGTGTGTTGCTGAGCTCAAGGAAGAAGACAGGCTAACATAAGGCGCCCTCCGTCCTTCATTTCTCCTTTTTCTTTTGGGGTCATTCCTTAGCTGGGCGCTGACAGCAACCACTGATAAGAAAATGATTAAGTATCATGGACTCAACCACAATCCAATTCACATTCCCAGCTGCTCTGCAGACTGCAAAAAAGCTGCATCAGATATTTTTTTTCTTCTTCACAGGCTAGAAGTTCTAACCGTTTCTTTTTCTTTTTTTTAAATTAGTCTTCATATAAGCTTCATATGTGTGTATGGCTGCCTGACATACAGTAAAGTCTGTAACCTATTTTCAGTACATCGTGTTTCTGAATGATCCACAACTTCCAGACATGATAGAGCTGTGAAACCCAGATCAGGATCAAAGAAGTCAGCGAGACAATTCAGGATAAACTCGCCAACGTATCTGAAATGGATTAGTTTTGGCCTCGACTACTGTAAAAATCAAACACATAAATGCACACGCTGTGTATGTGTTTGAACAACAGATTTAGTCCACAGGGATCAGCAGTCAGCTGTAACATCCCTCGCCCACGTGAAGCATCTGGGCACCCATGAAAATGGAAATGGCAGCGCCTGAACAGTTGATAGAGACCAATCTGTTTCCTCATCAGGACTCTTCATTAAACTTGAGCAGTGTCCATTAGGCCTGTAATCCTCCTCACCCACTGCTACACACGACCTTGAGGTGTAACACTACACGCTGTTTTAATAGCTCCTGAGTTCTCACCGAGGTATACTTACTCAGATGTACTGCTGCTGCTGCTGGACTTCATGGGAGAATAAGTTGTTTCGAAACAGGATTTAAGAACAGTTCCTCACAGAGTCATTTGTTACATTACAGCCAATCATAGCCAGTAATTTAACGTATCCTCACGATGCTCGTCGCACAGTGTGAATTTTTCTACTACAGAATGTGATCATTTCTTGCTCACCATAGTAGCTGCTTAATTGAGCTGGATGTGCGTCAATGATTTCACTTAGAGGGGATCATCAAGATTCAGACAAGCACCTGGTCTTTTATGTGCCTGTAGAAGGCTGGCAGGAAAAACGATTACCGGCCTCATTTGTTCTCTATAGACATTTGTGACCTTTCCAATTGGCACATCCTCTTACGAATATGACAGCTTTTCTTTCCCAAAACCAGGAGTGATCTTGCATTTAATATGCACATAAATTGCATTTTTGCCTATTGGGGAGCTTACATATACTGTAAAGTCAGTATGGTGGGGCTTTTTGACACTGGATGTGTCAGTTAACGATGAAAGTTTCTGGGAGTCCCATGGTGCACTCCTTTCAGCTCTGATGCTATTGTTATCCAATCAAAAGATTTCTAGTTGTACATGCACATGCTTATATACATAATTTACGGTCCATACATATAAATAACTGCAAAAGTTAATGTTCAGTGTGATGAATATATAAGAATAAGTACTAGCAAGCAGTTTGAATACAGATTTGAAGAAAAGACTGACTGAGAGTCATATGAGCAGAGACAGAAATGCACTTTTAGAGCTTTCTTTGCACTTTAAAATCCACTGAAAACTGCTAAACAGGAAGCTGCAGAAATACAAGTAACGAAGAAAAATACACACATGTGAGATACAAAGAAAATACAGCTTTTACAGTCCATACAAAAGAAAAAAAAATGGCAGCGTTTGTGCAGTGTGGCTAGATTGTATCATAAAATACATTTTTGCTGAAGAGTTTTGGACAGAAGCAAAGGGAGTGATTACCAAAATCCTTGTTTACCTGAATGGATCACCTTTCAGAGAAACTGTTAGGATGTGCAATCACTGAAAAATATCGGTGCAGAACGAGCTGACAGGATGATCAAAATGAAAAGCTCCAATATTGAGTGGATGTGTGATTTGGAAGTGTTATCATCCTCCGCAGGGGCCATGGGATTTACAGTAAATGTTGCCGTTTTTTAATGATCATAAGCTTTACAGTGTCATTCCACTTGTGTTGTGTTTATCAACTAAATAGCATTAGGTATTACTGCTTTTATTCTCAAATGCATTTAGTTCATTTTGACTCAGAATCATAGATTACAATTTTTTCATCTCCTATTAAGCTTGTTCTTGAAGTGCACACACTCAGGATTTTTCGGTCATGAAAAAATAGGCTTTAAATATTATTAGAAACTTTGATTAAAAAAGTAAAACATTAAAATTCATCAGATCTTCATATTTGACCTTAAAATAGAAGAAGTGAATGGCATCACAGCCAAGAAAATGTGGTGTGAGGCTGACCTACAGAGCACAGCTGACAAGTCAAATTACAAGCATGATACGAAAAACTATGGCTTGATGAAATGCTTTCTTTTTTTTCCCCACAGCACAAAAGAAAAGAATTCAATTTGAGCAGGTTAGAGCGAGGGATTCATCTTTCCGAATGTGAACAGAGAGAGAAAATGCAGAGGAATACATTTCAGGCACATTTTTGTCTCTCTGGGAGTGTTAATGCTGTGTGTTGTTGCCACTGTTTGTTGTACGGTGCCTGAGCTGATCAGGGTCTGCTGCCTCACAGATATCTCTGGTGACAGCGTTGTGAAGACTGTGTCTCAGATGCCCACGTGTACTCTCATACACAAATAAAGGAAAGCCCACACATTGAGTACAAACACGGAAAATGACTTCATGGAAACAAGGACACACACGCGCGGACACACAAAAATCTCACATGCTGTATTTCAGTATTTAGACTCCTTTTTCTTCTTCTTCTAGTTGCCATGCTTTTGCACGATGGATTCTGCTTCAAGATTTAATCCCAAGACTTCTTTAGTCATTTTATCCTAGGGCTCTTCTGTCCATCACTGCTTTCATGTCTTCAACCAAACTGGAGCCCAGTCTAAAACCGGGCCTTAGTAATGATGACCAGCGGCACACCAACCATCTGTAATGTGTCCTCTCCTCCCTTTAGGGAGCCGGAGAAGGATCTGCTGTCAGTCTGGCAGGGAAAACATCTGTTCCCATTAAATTACTGTGGCCCTGCCATGCAAGTTATCTCTACTGCACTCCATTTTACTGCCTGAGTCCTGCGCCTGTCGACAAGGGGATAAAACAAGATTAGTTAAATGACTGGGAACTGGGGAAGTAGTAAGGGACAGAGGGGGGAAAGGAGAGAAAA